GCTTTGCGAAGTCACCACTACTAAATACAAAAAGTAAACAATCTATTAATAAAATTCCTGTAATATATGTTTATAATCTCCACCCTAAACATGCAAGTTGTTGATTCTAATCAATAGAGCAACGGCGTCGGATTGGAATGTGGGAACGTGAAGTCGCTATCATAACACGTCCCTGAAATCAAAATCGGTATTTCTACACCCCGTATGCAAATGTGGTCTGAGAACAGAGTAGTCCTTTCGAAAGTAGCGTTTTTCGAAACATAGCGAGAAATAAACAATATTTAGAAGTACGATATTTTACCCTTGAGTACATGAATATACTTGAACAACAGTAATGGTACTTCTAGGTAGTCACTTATTTTGACTAAAACTAATTTGCGTATCACCCATGCAATAATGTTTTCGGTATTTTCACGGTCAACATGTAAATGAAATGGTATTGGCGATCCGCTCCACTAGAATTGCCCTTAAAATCACTTCTGTGTGTGTCTGTGATTTCCAGTGTTTTCACATATTAATTCTTCTGTGATTTGTTTGGCTTGGCCGATTTCGCTCAAACTTAGCAGGCAGGTCACACCTTCACCCTAGTTATTAGGAAAGATCTAGATCTGTTTCCATGGCAACAGCCAAAAACTGATTTTTTGAATACCTTCACGCCAAATGTATCACACCCTACATTTCTATGATTAAGGCAGGTAGTATCGTCACTAATTGGAAAAACAATCATAGCCCACCGCTACCATGGCAACAGCCAAAATCTTTTTTTTAATACTTTCGCCCCAAATTTATTACCTCCTACCAATCTTGTAATAACAGTGTTCAAATGCCTTTTATTTTGGCTACGTTGCACACCGGTAAGAGATCACCGGCGCCGACATTGTTGCACTGTATCAATGTAATCCCAACGCAACTTTGAACTTTGAATGGAATGTGAATGCTGCCTCCAATCTAGAAAATACTATCGCAAAACGGTTGGAAAATAATACATTTAACGACATAATACGTCCTAGTAATAAAATAAAGTGACTTCTGAAAACTTAATTTTTTTTGCGAACTTCGTATACGTTGCCCGGTTTTAGTTATAACACGACGTTAGCTTCACGTTCATGTCTACCATGACAACAGCCGAAAACATATTGCTTGTTTTTGAGCTGAGCGGATCGCCAACCAGCCTACCGGCTTGTTTTCATTGGCAATCAAACTATTTTTATTTTGTAAAATTTTCGTCTGCTATTTTTATCAAGTTCAAAACGTTCAGCAAATTGTTGGCATATTAGGTGTACATCACATGGAATACTACGATTGACAGAACTTGATGCATGTTGACTGAGTTTTATAAACCATCTTGGAAGATCCACCCACAGTAAAATTAGCGATTGCCATGGAGAGCAACCATCAACATCAAAGTACCAGGAGGTTTTTGCTGGCGCATTTGCGGCGTTACCTAGTTCCAAATAAAGATTACCAAGGCCAAATGAGCAAAATTTAAACTGGTAATCAAGATCCATTCAATCCACCATGGCGGCTAACAAGCAACATCACAAGCAAAGTTGTAGCGTGCAGCTCAGCGACTACCGCTGTCGACGAAAGTCAACCCGTCAGTGGAGTACCGTAGTTGAACAGCATGTTTGCCAATGCACAATTCTGTGGAGGAACTTTTAACTTCAACATAAATTTAAACTACGTACAAGAGAACTGGTGATGGTTGTGAACCATAACTGCCTCAGCACAAAGGCTGTTGTGTAATACCAGGGAATGTAAAGGGAAATGTAGTGTTACCTCTGTGTAATTTACAATATATCTGCATTAACCTCCACTATTAAGGACAATATGGGAGTAGAAGCAAGGCTACGAAATAGTAGTTAGAATTACCCGACATTGTGGGATATAAAGAAGTGGCCTATTAACCCATGGAACATACTCGCGCATATCCATACATGTCTTATTCTGTGGCTGTCATATACACAATCATGATAACTGGGAATGGTTTCACAACAGAAAAAAAAGTGTTATTGCTGTAAATAATTATGAACAATAAAAACTGAAATTTAGAAAAACTATGAACAAAAAATAATGAAAGTCTGTGATTTTCTGTACAGTTTCCAGGAAATTATTAACCGAACCATAACATTTAT